CGCGTGTGTGTGTGTGAGAGAGAGAGAGAGAGAGAGAGAGAGAGAGAGAGAGAGAGAGAGAGCAAATGCGCAAAAAGGCCTCCCCCTGATGTTGGAATGATGGTAGTACACGTTCAGGTGCACAGCTTTACTCCGACAGGACGGGAGATGGTTTAAAAATGACAGCATGCAGTGGTGCAGCAAGTATTCAGCTTTTTACTCGAGTTAAAGTTACTGCACAACATTTAAAAGTAGTGCAAAAAAAGTGGTTTGGGTCCCTCTGAATGATAAATGATTACACATGACATCATTAGATTATGAATAGAGAAGCATCAGTGTGTCAGCAGCATGCTACTGATGCTGCTGCAGGTGGAGCTCACTGTATCCATACCGTCCCATTATTAAAGAAGGGGGAAAAAAAACAATAATAATAAAGAAAAAAAATAATGAAAGTCATGACATTGCTTTTGGATTGTGGTTCACCAGAAATATTAAAAAAACAAAAAAAAAAACAAGCCAACAAGCATGATGGGACCTGTAAAGTAATATTTTATTGAACAACCCTCAAGTGTTTTCTGTAACTCTCAATCAGACTTCTGCACCTGTTGACAGTATTGGGCCCCACCTCCTCCCACCACAGCCGTCTCCTCTGTTCAGTGATAAATAATTTTTAATGCCACTGACAACCAAACGTAATGCTTTGTAATGCTATTTAAAGCCTTACTTTTCCGTTTTGGGACTCTGTTTTGTTGTGTGTGTCTGGGTGATATTAGATCATTTAAACTTGTATTGAAACAAAAGCATGTGAGATGTTTAAAGGGAATTTTTTTTATGGTGCTGTCAACAACTCAAGACATCTGAAATGTGACCCCGACTAAACTCTGCTTTTTGTAAGATGTCAGAAGCTGAAGGGGTTAAAAAAAAAACACTGATTTAACATTTAACAATGTGTAGGATTCTATAAGTTTGTTGTATTATCTATTGTGTAAAATCCTCCTCTTAAAAAGTAACTAAAGCTGTCGAATAACTGTAGTTAAGCAGAAAGTACAATATTTTTATTTCTAATGCAGTGGAGTGGATTATAAAGTAACACAATATGGAAATGTACTTAAATAGAGTAATTGAGTAAATGTACTTAGTTACTTTCCACCACTGACAGTATGTCTAGGACTTTAGTGGAAAGCAATGTGGTACATTTAATCACAAAGTTGAGGTATTTTCCATCAGCAACATTTTAAGTGCAGGACTTTTATACAGTGTGGTACTGCCTAAAGACTGGCTACTTCCTCCACCACTGACACAGAGCAATGAGAAAATAAAAACACCCAGAAGTACACATTTAGCAGTAAGCTTGACCTCAAGTATCATAAATGGTCATTCTCTATTGAAAAAAAAAAGCCCCCCCCAGAACTGATATATTAACACCCATCTGATCCTGATGGAGCAAGGTTGAACTACTTCCACTTTAAGGAAGATCAGTCTAGTTTTTTTTAACCTCGGGATCAGGACCTCCTGAAGGGTCACACCATAAATCTGGAGAATCATGTGATGATCAGTGGGAGAGGAACAAAGAAAATGTGAAGTTGTGGTACGCAGACACGTAGATCATTTCTGTGATGTTTCTCTAACCTTTCTTTGGGAAATATTGAAAACTTTCTCAACAATAATTTAACTTTTAGAAATGTTTAGAGAGGAAATCAGTCTTTGGTGGAAATGCTAACAATTTAGAAACATCTTAAATGTAACAAGAAGCCCCAAAAGGGTCACAACCATAAAAAAAAAGGGGTTGAGAACTATTCATTTAATCGCCAGCTATGGACTAGTGGAGTGAAAAGTACAATAATCCCCTTAGGAATGTAGGAGAGATTTAGTATGGAGCATAATAAAAATGGTAATTCTCAAAGTAATGGGAAAAAAATGTACATACTGTAATAAAGACAGCAGCTTCACAGCAAAGACCACGGCAGACGTTTGAGTTTTCATTATAAAAAAAACAGCATTTTATTGAGTGTCTCAGAAATTGAGTTACACACACGACGTGGAGAAAACTGCACTTAAACGTTGTTTTTGTCGACCTCCTTAAAGGTGATCATTAGTCTACTTTAAAGCACAAGTATTACTGGCATCAGACATACTCCCTGTGTTTCCTCCACTGCGCTGACTGTTTCGTACTGCAGCAGACTGATCTATAATTTATTCACAGTTTGGCTCAATAGTGCATCAGTTGAGAATCATCCCTCAATCATACCTCAGAATCAGCCATAATTTATTAAGCATACATGATATACTAGTGTGCTGACTTTGTGTGTTACAAATCAGCCATGTCAAAATATGACTCATGAATTATTTTAGCCTGTGAAAGAGGAATTTACAGTGATGTGGCCCACTGGGGCTATTCAGGTTAAAATACAGTTATTACCCTAACTTTATGCAGTAGGCACTTTGGCAAACAAAACAACCACTGAGAATAAATAAGACTAATTAAACAGGGCTATTTGGCTCATGAATAACAGATTCAAATGAAAGGGGATGCTCATTTTATGTTCACGAGCTATCCGCTAGCCAAGAATATCTTATAGCCTTACGTCAACTGACACATGGGCATATTGTAGTTTATTCTAAGAAGAGCATGATCAAAATGTGGGCTTATGTTCAACTCATCCCCACGTCACAAAAGATTCTTAGAATATTCAGGCAATTAGTGTGGGAAAAGCTCTTACACAGCAAAATTTGTGTGTTCGTATTTGTTTTGAATAATCTCAGAACATCCCAGCTATCGTTTGCGGGTTCGGTAAGAACTCAAACATAATGATTTGGTGTGTACGGTATTTGCAAGCCTCTGAAATACAGGCTCGGAATAGAAATTCTTCCCAGCTACACTTTCATACTGTCACACACACCAACACACACAACCCAGAAGGTCTATAAGATTAAGACTTCTCTGCTTCTCAGAGGACGTGACGGAGACACGATGATGTCGTCAGAATCGTCAGACTCAACCGCAGCGGCTCCACCGAACTCTGCTGCGCAACGAGGCTCCGTCTGGGCTGCAGGAGACATACAGTGCATGTTCAGCTGTGTTGACTCACTCCACTGGAATCACTTTATTTGGGTCAATTTAACCCTAAAGGGCACCAAAGAACACACAAAGACACCCACGCATGCTAAAAATGGTTGCTTACAGAAACCTGCGTGTGCTATTAACACGGTCAAACAGAAACCGATGGGTGCTCTCTTTCTCAAACCTTTTGCAGGTGCCATCGTGGGGCTGTGAGTTCCAGAGACAGGCCAGAGGTCTTCTTGGACATCCTCCTTTTCGCCATCATTACTGAGGGATGCAGCAGCTTGCCAAGAAAACACCGCAGAGATACCGGTCATTGAGGCACAATTCAGACACACCCTCACCAACTTGTACAGATGATGCGGTACTTTTAACAGGATGTATTTAAATATATGGACTTTTGCCACATTGTGCTTAAGTTGCAGCTTCTAACACTCAAGTTAAAGTAAATCCTGTAAAGTAAAGACCAAACTACTGTTATGAACCCATGTCTTCTTGCAAAAGTCCTTAATATTCTCAAGATGGTGCAGTCCAAAGTCTCTCAGTGAAGCCCACACTTCACATCAAATGCAGGGGCAGCCTTAAGAGCGTGCAGGGGAGGGAGAAAAAAAAAAAACGCTGACATTGTTGTTCTGCTCTGTGCACCCATATGCTGTCGACCTGCTCAAAGCTGAAGTGATGGGGAAGGCAGTGGAGCCTCAGGGTCATGTTGGTCAGGTAGCAGCTTAGCAGAGGTCTCGTTTTCAAACAAAAATCACAATTTAAAACAGCACAATCTGCAAATCGCAAAGGTTACAGCTTGGGACATACAAGGTGTGGCTGTTTAATAATGAGACTAATGCTGGAATTAAATTTTATGCATTTTGAGCAGGTTGAAACTTTCAGACGTTGTTAAGGATTGCTCATTGATCAATGTATACCCCGTGGTTCAGGCATGCACACTGTGGTCCAGCTGCCCAGTCTCATTATGTGTGTGCCGGATACAAGAGTTCATTTTACAAATGCTGTTCTCTACTTTTGATGGTGTCTCATGTGCTGACGATCTATCATGTTGTAAATCTATCTACACAGTGAACTGAAGCTTGATTTTTAAAAATGATACTACAAATGGCAATATGTCAGAACTCTAACTTTAAATCCATCACTACTCATCAAAGTGTCTGGGGAGAAGTGGTGAGTGATTCTGGGCTCAAGACGATGCCACGGTGTCAAATGAATCAACATATATTAACGCTGAGGCGACCTGATCAGCGAGTGGTTAAGGCACACACCACCTGAGTCTCTGGTTCAATTCCCAGCTGGGGAACATTTGCTGCATGTCATTCCTACTACACAAAAAAGCTAAATAAATAAATAAATATCCAGCCTGAGCCCTGACTGGCTGAGTGGTTCTATCAATGGAGTGTTTCCTGTAAAAGCTGCATGTCTTTCTAGTGTGAAGAGTTTAATATCTTCTACCAAAACAAGCTGCCCCACGCTGAAGATGATGACTGTAAGGGGAAAGTCACAAATACGCAATATAGCTGAGAGGCAATAAATACATTTGTACTACTTGTGAGTGGAATAGTTGAAATAAGAGCTGAGGCAAGTAGCATTAAAATTTAGTCTAACTTTAATACAAGATACAGATGACAGTTTTTTCTTGTGTAAGTTTCTTTGGAGGAGATGCTATACACCTGTCTGAATCATCTTTTGTTAGTTTTTGCTTTGTTCTGTGAGTTTGTTGGTGCACGCAACAAAAGAACTGTGTGAACCTCACCTGTTCTGCCGCGTGTGTGCGCTAAGCGAGCTCGTCTTGGCGCCAGCGTGGGCGCATTGCTTTCCATCGAAGAAGGCACGGAGAACCCTGAGCTAATGCACAAACACACACACACACGTGATTCCGCAAAACGTCTTGAATATCGACTGCATCTGCTTTTGTCCTAAATGGTCTGTATAAATGAGTCACCTCTCTATTGCGAGACTACAACGAGCCAGATGTCCCCTGAATGCAGCCTGTATCATCGTCAAGGCAACCACATCCAGCTCTCCACCAATGGAGGAAGCTGCGTCGCTGCAGTTTGAGGAGTCTACAGCCTGAAACAGGAGATGAGGGAGAGACGGAACAAGGGGGAGTAGAGGAAGGACGAGGGAGATTCAGTGGGTGAGACAGAGACAAAAAAAAAAAACATATGTTTGGTGAGACAGAGGGGGATTGCATTTTAGAGCCATCTAGTGGGTATTTAAGTTAGCTGCATCTCTGCTTTATTTTATGACAATACTGCCTGCAATGATCTCCCAAAGCTTACACAAAGGTATACATGCAGTGTCTGATTTAAACTATATTTACATGTCTTTTGATCTATTCACAGGACTTAAGAAATTAAGTTGCAGTCTTTGAAAACACTCCATAAAATTGCTGAAAGGACGAATTATGCTTGAAAAACTAACCCCGAAGTACATACTGGAGAAAGTTGGAAGAATAGTTTACGCCAACAGCAGCACTGATTTTGTGCATTACAGTGGCCAGTAATGTAGTCGAAAACGTTCCTGTGATATTGATACTTGAATATGACGGAGGAAAAGGATTCTTGCTGCTTTACAGACATAGATTGATTAGAGTGTGAGTGTTTGAGGTGTTTTGTGGGTAAAACCTTCTTCTGCACGTCTTTGAGCAGGTCTTTGAGCTGTGACTCTCTGAGGAGATGGCCTCTTAACGCTGCCTGCAACATCACAATGTCCTAAAGAGAGTTGGAGAAAAAGAAAATCTGGGCTGTCTGGACTTTTTTTTTTACATAATAATGCTCTGACACATCAATAGCTTCCTTTACATAACTGCTAAATGTTACATACCCTATTCCTGTGCTCCCTCCAGTTTGTCTGAATGATCAACGCTGCTTTCTCTCTTTCTTTGGTCTCGGCTTCAGTACATAATTCATCTCCTTCCGCCTCCTTGTCTTTACATCCAGTGTCCCTCTTCTCTCCCTCGTCCAGACCCGCTCTGCCCTGAGTGTCCTCCTGACTCTCTGCCACTGAGGGGGAAAGAGAGTGGGAGAGCTCATCGGCCTGTGCAGATTTGGTTCTGTCCTCCTCCAGAGTTTGGATTCTCGCCCACAACTGCTCCAACTCCTGTCTGCAAAAACACAAACAGACACAAAAGCATAATACAAACAGTCTGTTTGGATTTGTTTTTGAGAGGGAACCTATTTTGCTACCTAATTATGAGGTCAAATTTAATTTTTGACAATGACAGTAGCTGATGAAAGTTGAACAAACTGTAGAAGTAAATCCTTTCAGCTGCTGTGCTTCAGAGTTGAGGCTAGTCTGTGAAAGCGAACTTCATCTATATCACTGATTACACAGTCACTCACACTGTTATGTATGTAACCATTATTTATAAAACGGCATAATAACTTAAATAACAGGCACAAATAATCTCATAAATAATTCTCACATTTAGCCTCAGTACAGACAGGTTATATGTTAGGGCATGTTGAGTCTAATATGTGTCATTTTGTCAACTCTAGAACATTTAAAAACATACTTATGCTGCTGTCTCTCATTGTCAGTTTGATTTTCCTGTTCAGCTTTCCATCGTTTTGTCTCTTTCTCCAGCTCTTCTCTTTCTGTCCTTAACTGTTCCAGTTCATCGCTGAAAACAAAAACAGAAGACGGACTCAGTTTCAAGAACAAAACTCAGTGGCTTTATGCTTATATGTTGCTGTCACTGGTGGAATAATGCGGTGCAGCTCCATTCACAGTCCAGTGCAATTTATTCTCCCCCAGGTTTGTATCATTGATTTATATAATTTACATTAATAGTGGTTTGCCAAGATAGATACACTTAAAGCGTCCTGAGTGCTCTCAGGATGCTGCTCACTCACTCTTTCCTTGACAGCGTCTCTTGAAGCTCCGCCCTCTCCTTCTCCAATTGGCCGAGACGTTCCCTCACATGTGAAACCTCCTCCTCTTCCTCAGTGACTGTTCCCACAGAGACCACTGCCTCTGTTGCCATGGTAAACCCTGGAATCTCAGCCAGCGTGGCCTGGACCTCCTGATCCAATCGGCTGCCGCTCTTTGCTGACTGGGCGTGTCTTCTGCTGTCCTCCAGCCTCTGATTGGAGGAGAGAGGAGTCCTTCTGTGATGAAGTTTTCTAAACAGACCATCTGACACAGACGACTGCACGTGTTTGCATAACAAACTAGTTAAAGTTTCTTCTCACCTTCTCCACTTCCAACAGCCTTCTCAACAGTCTCTGTTTACTCCACTCCCTGTAACCTAGGAGACATAATCACACACAGACAGAATACTTTCATGAGCATTAGAGTACAGAAGATAACGCCGCAGTGTTGTTACAATCGATGGACTTGCTTTTACAGGACTTGACTCATTGTGTTGCTTCAACTTGTGGAACTGTTTCAAAACATACTTTTTTTTTTTTTTAAGTATAATTATTGGCAGCTGCTTTTGTATTTAGGAATATAAATCACTACTGTACTGTAATCACTGTTCTGCCCTGTTATTTATGCACCACTAATCCATTCCCACCAAAAACTGGAACATTTCAGGGCATATTTGGGCACAAATAAAAAGGTAGTAAAGATTAATTAGGAAGTGATGAATAGTTGATACCACAGTGTTAGAAGAAGAGATTAACACGATTAACGGGATTAGGGAAGAGCTTAACTCTAATTACATCGAGGTAGTTCGCCCATCTCTAATATCGTAATTAGCTCGAGATTTTTTCCTCAGATTTTAAAAACCTGCTGTTTCATTGCTGCATGGAATTGATGGGATACTTCTTTTTCCTTTTTCCAATATATTAATATTAGTCTGATTCCCAATACAGTTGCATTTTTTTGCAGAATAAAAACAGGGAAATATCCAATATGAAGAGTTCATTTTAAAGTGATTCTAGCTTAGGAAGTTGTTCACCCATTACAATATTGTTTATTCATGTATTCAACCCTAACGGTAACTCAGAGTACATTGAGGTGTGAAGACCTCATTTACAATGCAGCCAAGGAAAAAAAAAAAAGTACGCACACAAATCAGAAACTCAGATAAAAATAAAATATAAAAGGATAAAACAATAAACAGATAAAATAATAAAACACTAACTAGATGCATCCAGTGACTCCAGCTGCATGATAACACACTCTGATCACAACACTTTTTATGCACAACAGACCAGGGGAAAGAACGAAACGAGGAAGGGGATCTTGTCGGTTCAATTAGCACCGAGACTGAAATGTGGTGATGTGTGACTTAAGACCTTTAATTCCCCCAGCAGGACTGTCAGTGTTGAGTTCTTCTCTGAGCGCCGCGTTCTCCTGTTGGAGCTGCTTCAGGTTCTCAGACAGACGATGAACGGTGGAGCTTAAAGCTTTCTGCTGCCGCTGAGAGCATTTGCTCTCTGCTCGACTGCTGCAGACAGACACAGAGAGGGAGAGGACGGCTGAATGCAGGGATGACAGTGTTTTTAACATTCAGCACAAATCTTGCAACCCTTTCTTTTGACGCCATCACAGTAGATTTGAAATAAAGCGATCAAGGTGTGATTAAAGTGTAGACCTCTAGCTTGAAATCAAGGTTTAACAAGAAATGTAGCATTCATCGTTTAGGAATTACGGTCATTTTTTTTACACAGTCCCTCTATTCTCACAGGGAAAACAGATAATCCGCATTATTACAAATATAGGGCTCATTTTTATTACTTGGAAGCAAACCCTACGCAGTCGGTGCCTGGACTTCACCGAATGTAGTGATTCCTCCCCTGGGATGCGTTCCCAGGCTATTACTGCAGCTGCTGCTTGTTTGTGGGTGTTTCTGTCTTCAGTTTTGTCTTCAGTAAGTGAAAAGCAGCTCGGTTGGGTTGAGGTCAGGTGACTGACTCAGCCATTTGATAACATTCCATTTCTTCGCCACTATCTGCTCCTCGTTTGCTTCACAGTATGTTTTGGGTCATTATCCATCTTTACTGTCAAGCGCTGTCCTATCAGTTTTGCAGCATTTGACTAAATCTGAACAGAAAGTATTCTATAACTCTATACACTTCAGAGAGCCTCCTGCTACTTCTATCAACAGTCACATTATCAATAAACTCCAGTGATCCAGTTGCATTTGTAGCCATACATGCCTGTGTCATGTTTTACAGGATCATGAGGCCTTCCTTTCTATCTAAGTACTCGTCTCTTCCCATCATTCTGGTACAAATTCATCTCATATTCATGTGTCCAAAGAATCTTGTTCCAGCACTGGGCAGTACTTTTTTTTTTTTTTAGATGTTTTTTAGTAAAGTCCAATCTGCTGTTCTTCTTAAAGTAAACCCTCTGTATTTACATCCATGAAGACAGTTCTTGATAGGAGACTTTGCTATGATACTCTTACCTCCTCGAGAGTGTTCTTGATTTGGCTGGACGTTCTTAAGGGCCTTTTCTTTGCCAAGAAAAGAATTCTGTGGTCATCATATTTAGTTGTCTTCCAGGCCTTTCGGTCTTTCTGAGCTCGCAGTGCATTCCTTCTTTTCAAGAATGTATGAAACTGTTGATCTGGACTCCTAAAGTTTCTGCTCTCTCTGAGAGGTCCTGTTTCGTTTTTTTCAGACTCTTTCACTTCCATCGACAACTATCTGAACCACAGATTGAGGGTACAGAGCCTGTGAAAATGGAGGGACTACTGATGTAAAAATGGGTGCAATTCTGGAAAGGTTAATGTATTATTTCTGTTTATTTAAAGATACATCAACACTTCAATCAATCTCCATTGCTTTATTTAAAATCTATCGTGGTAGTGTACAGAGGCAAAATTACAAAAGCTGTGTAGTTGTCTAAAACGTATGGATTTGAGATTATGACTGTGGTAACCTTTACTTTAATATTTCAGATTACGGACACTGGAGTGTAAGTTTAAAAGACATAACCTTCAGTGATAACCTTATCCAAACTTAATGTGAGATAGAGGCCCATGATCACATCTCCATGAAAGTGAGGCCCATGTCAGATGCCCCGTGTGTTTTAGACATTCATACCTTTTCTCTGCCGCTTCTAGAAGAATCCTCAGTCTCTGGATCTGAAAGATGAAGCACACAAACAAACTGTACACATTTCCTTTTCACACTCTGCAACCAAACTAGATGTGATCATAATACGTTCTATCACAGCAGCAGAGACACAGACAGTCTAAGAACACTTGCAGCTTCGTTTTCTTATTTCTTTGATGGTTGTTTCAGGTTATTACACATTTAATTAAGCTTTCAGGTAATAAGAATACCAAGCTGACATTCTGAATCTAGATGGTACCTCTTCAAAGTAGGTTTCTACTGTGATCTTCAGCTCCTCCAGGTTGGTGGTCCTCAGCTCACTTTGTAGTTTACTGAAAAAAAAGGGAAAAACCTGAACTTTATGCTGTTCTACACATAAAGCAAATTGACCTACAGAAAGTGGAATCATGTTTTACCTTAGGGCGTTTTCTTTCTCTCTACACTGCTGCTCCAACTTCAGGATTCTCTGTTTCAGCCCATTGAGAACCTTAATGGACAGCATCCATTCATAAGCTTGTTAGATATGCATCCTATAATTTTATCTGGTATGCGACCAACACACTGAACATACTCACCACACTCCCTTCTTTTTTCTTGTCCACCAAACTGCGAGTATATTCAGATCCCTGGAAGAAAGCATGTCGTTGTTACAAACTCTATAATCCAAATCAAAGATCTCAGGTATTCCTACTGTCTTACCTTCGTGGGATCCAACAGTTCTTCTATCTGCTTTTCTCTTTTAGCATTATCCTCCTCGAGGCGCCGTAGTTTGGCTTTCATTTGCTGGTTGTCAGACTTCTGTGCCTGAAGATTCTGTAGAGAACAGCAGAAGTGACTAATCAATTCCCACAGTGCATCCTGCTGCCATCTCACACACACACACACGGACACATGAGCTTAAAGAAAACACGATTCATCAGACAAGCACAACTTATTCCATTGCTCCATGGTTCAGTTCTGAGGCTCACATGCCTATTGTAGAACATTTCAGTGGTGGACATGGGTCAGCGTAGGCACTCTGACGGCTCACAGTGATGCAGTCCAACATGTATCAAGATGTGACACAGTGTGTACTCTGACAGCTTTCCATCATGGCCAGCACTAAGAATGTCAGCAATTTGAGCTACAGTAGCTCTTTTGTGAGACTAGACCACAAGAGCCAACCAGTTCTCCACATGCAAATGAATGAGACTTGATATTCTTGACCCTGTCACTTATTCACTAGTTGTTCTTCCCTGAAACACTTTTAGGAGGCACTAACCACTGCATACAGGGACCACCATACAACACTGGGGGTTTTGGAGATGCTTTGACCCAGTCGCCTTTACTCAGATCCCTTCTTCTGCTTCTAACTCATCATCTTCAAGAACTGACTGCTAACTTGCCACCTGATTTATCCCTCCACTTAACAGTATTAATCATTTCATCCATCAGTGGTTTTAATGTTGTGGCTGATTAGAGTATAAAAAGTGCAACTAAAAAAAAAAATCCTAAAAGCTCTAGCAAAGAAAAATGTCTTCTCCTTTTTGCTTTAGAATAAAAATCCTGTTACGGAACACCACACTGGAATTGATCAAGGCCATTTCAGCAGACGACAGACGTGCACGTCATGTTACACCGACACCTAAGTGCGGCGCCCTTTCAGAAGAAAAATCTCCTTCACATTCCTAAAACAAGCTACATGCACAACTTCTCTTGTGTCACTCTTTACCTTCTTGAGGCGAATGATCTCGTCATACATGTCCTCCTTGTCTCTGAAGTCGCCCGCGCCCAACGTAAAACCTGCGAAGAACAGGGACCAACATGGAACACAAACGCACAAAGGCACCCACGCTCTCACCCTGCAGTTAAGAAAACAATTGATGGTGCTGATGTCATGTCACACTCCCTCACATCCAGCCCTTTATCTTTCTGCCACCGTCTCCTGCTCTCAGCAAATTGCTGTTTAGCACAAAATCTGACCTTCAGCTTCGCCTCTCTTCACTCTTCTTCACTCAGTTTTTTTTCATTCTGACACACCCACACATTCTCTCACCGTTGGATGCTGAGTGGAGATGTTTGTATTTCTTCATGCTCAAGGTCTGCTTAAGAAGCTCCGATGTGACATCACAGTCTGATCTCAGTGTCTGGGATGCATCTGAAAAAGAGTTAGGCAGAGAGACTTTCAATGCTTATGTATGAGTTTATTACTTTATATGACCTCTTCTTAGACCTCTATTAGATTGTATTTCATTTTGTTGGTAATCACAAAGGCTAATCCTTCTACTGTGTGCATGTTTTTGCCTATAAGAGGATTAAAAAAAGTCGTACTGAAGCGATTCAGATATGCTCAAACACAAGTCAATACTCCATCTGACTCATGCTTTTAACACCTTTTGAGGACATACTGTTGTAGATAATGACTAGTATGCAAAGAGCTGGACAGATAATGGATTTCAAATCAAGATCACAGATTGAAACAATTAACTGAGCAATCTGCAAATGTTGCAGTTTAGAATATATTGTACGCAGCACTTCTAAGGCAGGGTTTAAAGGTTTAAACTGTCACGTCACTCGTTTCACAAAGTCCTGCCGTTACCCTTGTGTGACATTCATGCTCACCCATAGAAAAGGCCCAAGGCATCTGCACGGAAATACCCACCGACAATAAACACGAGGGAAATGTTACATTTTGTGGTGGGGAAAAAAAAAAGGCCTCTTTTGAGTCAAAAACAACATTGGACAATTTTAGGCTAACGAAAATCAGCACTTTAGTGGTGTGGGAGTGTGGGAGGATTTCACGTTTGGAGAGACAGATTTGCAACAAAAGAAGGTATTGCGCAAGACCTGTCGTCACCGCATCTCAGGCACCGCAAACTATCAGCACTTAAAAAAGCACCACAGGCAGCTACATGATAAATGTATGAAAGCAGTGATGCTCTCGCTCAGTCCAGTAAACAAACCACTGTTTTAGGGTTGTTTGCATCTGTTACTCCATATGAACAGGGTTCACGAAGGAACTGTGATTTAACCAACACCATAATGCCGTACCTTGTGGAAGACATGGTGCCAATAAACACTGTGACAAAGGTGGATTTCAAAATCTGTCTGAATGCTGAATAAAAGATATGCAACGCCTTCCTGCACATACTTCAAACAAGTTTCCCTGCAAGAACTGTACATGGAATGTAGTAAAAAGTTGAGACAGAGCTGCAAAATAAGGAGCATTAGTAGTTCATATTATTACTACTATCAACTTTTATTCCACTGTAAGTACTGAACTGAAGACTGACCTTAAAAAAAAAAAACTGTCACAAAGTAAAGAGCAATGACAGAAAACTTGAAATTAGATATTTTCCCAAAACCATCCAGCCATGAGTAAGCATGATGCTTTTAACTTAACAAATGATGAAGTAACGAAGCTCTGTTTTAGCTCTCTGCCTTCATCGTACAGCCCGTCACAGACTGCCCTATTTCCAGCAGCAGGCAGCTGTTCTCAAAGACAAAAAAAAAAATACCGTAAACCCGCTGACTGTGCGCGCTCCCTCCTGCAGAGAAACAATGTCCACATAGCTTAACTTTCACGGTGCCTCCTACCATGGCCGTTGCTGAGGGACGTGAGGCGAGCTGAGCCCGTCTCCCCAGGAGTGTCCCCTCTGCTGTCCCCCAGGGAGGCCCTCGGCAGCCTCCAGGCTCCCACTGTTGCTCTCCTGGGGTTCACATTCAGGCTGGAGAGGTACGGAGACTCTGCACGTATATAAATAAATATGGAATTTGTACAAATGGGTTTTCTTACAGCGTCTGCAAATATTTCCTGCAGAGCAGCTGAGTCGGGCTTACTTGGAGAAGAAGATTTGGGTTTGCCAGAAGATTTTTTCCTCCTTGTTCTCTGATGGTGGACAAACAAAAAGTGTCAAAGCAGAGGAAAGGCGTATTCACAGCTTTTTTTTTTCTTGCATTCAGATATTTTTTGGCACCCCCACGTGGAGGCTCTAGTCTGAACTGAAGGCAAACCACCAGCAAAACAGAATAATTTAACTTGCTTTGTTAATTCGGGTTTAATTTACTCAAACACAGCAGATATTTGTGTTTACAGAATGGTCTGAAGTAACAGGAACATGCATACATTTCTGTCAAATACGGTAACACAGACTTTGATTTATCAGAAGTCATGAAGAAAGACATTATCCCAAACAAACAAACAAACAAACAAACAAAAACACAGGTATAAAGATAAACAACATGTATATTGCCACAGGAAAGATTCACAATTAGTTGTAAATTTGTTTACCTTATCTGAAATATCAGCAGGCAGAGAGAAGCCATCCTCAACCTTGGTAGGACACAGGAATAAAATAGTAATTATGTGTAAGTCAGAAAGAAATAGTCAAGAGTATAACAGGAGGATAGATAATATATATATATATATTTTTTTTTTTAATGAAGCTTTGTGTGAATCATTGGTTCCCAACCTGGGGGGCATGACCCCCATGAGGCCCTACTATAGGCTTTACTACCTACATAAAGTAATGTTTTATCTTCCTCTGCTGATTCATTTTCTTTGTGAGATGCTTCAATCAGTAGAAAAACAAGGAAGCTTTGGTTGAAATGCCCTCAACACGAGAATTACAAACAGAAATCACTTCAGTTAAGGAGTCACACGGCGGAAGTGTTGGGAACAGCTGCTAGAAACTATAACCCTGCTTGGTGTTCACAATTAGTCCAACTTTACACGCTTTAAGTAAGAAAATTGACGCCTAAAAGGGCAATTAATTGACAGACTCGGGGGGCTAAACAGTGGAGGCGAAGCACTCACCAGCTCCTCACAGTCTTCATCCGTCTGAACATCACTCGCCTCCAGAGATATCTTCGCACTTGCACTTAACATAGCTGCTAAAGCAAACGTTACGTTAAGTTGGAAACTGCGACTTTTCCCGTGTGTAATTCTCTCATTGTTTCCAGGTCAAAAAAGCTCACTTTCAGGTTGTCCCTCTTTGCTAGTAGTGAAAACATGAGGCAACAAAAGAGACGTTAGCTTTGCCACAACTCGAAATTCCCGTCCGGAACAACACACATTTCCCAAATGACGAGGCCTTCATGCGGTGATAGGGACTGTCAGGAACCATGGCTCCCTGAAATCCGTTGAAAAGCTGTCGTCTTTCCGCGCAGAGGTGACTGTTTTCATATCAGTGTTGCAGATTGAGTCGTCTAGCAACCAGGCAGCTGTTAATGAGCTGCGTTAAGCTAGCGAGGAAAAGTCAGAGCTACATCGGAAGTTGTGCGAGCACGCCTTCACAATAAAATCTGAACAACCACAAACTCATATAAAATAAGAGTGAATTCAATACATCGTAATTTATTAAATAATTTCAATCAAGCGTGCTTTGAAATAGGAATAAATACACCCAGAATTTTAAGAGTGTGGCAGCGCAGTTTTCAATACGAGGTTTATTTTGAAAACACAACCTGGCTGTACCCGTTTAGCTTTGTTTAGCTTGACGGAGCTAATATCTACACCGCAGCGCAGGACTCGCAGCTCGTAGTTTTGTGACTCTCCATTGCTGGAGTGCTGCTAAAAGGAGGGGCTCGAAATGTTTCCCTCCAATAGCATGAGAAAAACTAAAGGAGACTGAGGAAGCTGATGCAGTGATCTCTGCTCAGCTTGTTAGCTTCTGACCACAGAAATCATCATTCCATGTTAGACTGACTTTATTAATCCCCAGAGGGAAACTCAGCAACATGAATATTCAACAAAAGGGGTAAACAAAAGCAAAAAAGACAACACAGAATATAAGGGTAGGGTGCAAAATGAAGGTAAAATAAAATAAGATAAAAATATAGAAAATAGAATATAGAAAGAAAAGTCAACAATATTTACAAGAATATGCAAGAGAGATACAGAAATGTGCAAATGAACAGAATGTGCAAATGATAATGTGCTACGATGTGCAAAGTAGGTGCAGATAAGTTTACAGATATAATGAATGACTTTAGAATGTAGAGTGTCCACTATGTAAAGGGGTTTCATCTGCAGGTAGAGTCCTTATGTGATCTCTTAGGATAGGACAGCTACTCTATTGATCCTTTTACAGGAAATTCCTTATGTGTTACTCATGTGTTATAGCATTTTACTTACACACAGAATGATTGCACACATAAAAACCAACAATTTCTAGGTTCTACTCTTCACATCCAAGTATATGTTCTGTTTTTCGGCCCTTTTTATTCTAACTGGAAATCATTTTCATGCTGCATTTCCCTTTTTTTCATCTCTTTCTCCATCACTGCTTCTTCTTTTGCTCAGCCTGAAAGTTCACAAACAACAGCATAATACCGTCAAAAAGTAGGAATGAAAAGTACTCAAGCACTATACTTAAGTAGTTTTACAGTATTTGCATTTTACTGTAATGTTTCAACTTTTTCTACTTTCTGCAATTGTAAAATATCCTATTTTACTCTCCATTTATTTGACAGCTTTTGTTACTTGTGCGATGATGATTTTACTCAATAACACAACAAGCTTTTAAAAATATAACGCACTGTCAGAATGAAGCAATGACATCCAAACTGAAAGATTAGAAAAGAAGTCCAACAGCTGAAAACACGTGTATCAGAACATATTTATTTCCCCCATTAATTATCTCAAAATGATCCGCTGTCCCTGTATTTAAAACAGGATATAACGCAGTTGAAAGCAGCTCTACTTACAGCAGCCTCAACAGTGACACACTGCTGACACACTGATGCTTCACTATGAATAATTAATGATACCACATTTATCCCAGAGAGAATAAACAAGTCATTTAACTTTAATGCTTTGTCTACATTTTGCTTCTAACACTTCTTTACTTTTCCTTAAGTAGGATTTTTCATGCATAACTTTTACATGTAATGGAGTATTTTCACATTGCAGTGTTGTTGCAGTACTTCTACTTAAGCAAAGGATCTGAACACATATCCGAAACATATGTAATGTCTGCCTGCACGCTGGTATTATCCTGACCTATAGATCAGCTTATTGACATGTAGAAACAGGCATTATGTTTTATTTAAACCTGGTTCTACCTAGATATTAAAAGATATCAGCACAGGTAATGTCTGTATTGTTTTGCTGGGTGGTTTATTCAGAACATGTGGATCAATAGAAAGACAGGTAAAACTCTTCAGCTCATTTATGCACACTGCCCATCGGTGCTTTCGCGTTGCTCCTCACACTCTCCTTTTCCCTGCAAACTCTGGAGCTGGCCTCTTCTTACTGTATCATATTCTCATTCACACTGTTTGTACAGGTGGTGGACCCCCAAAGCCGCACGGCCAGACAGACCAACATACTTTTGTTCAGGGCAAACAGCATCATTGCAGACATAGACAGTTGTCAGCTTCCTAAGAAGAGAGCATTAACATTCACACTTAATGCTCCAACTGAGATGTTATCATGTTTTAGACAGAGACATTTACTAGTCTGGGTTCTTTCAAACAAACCTATCATCTATTTTGACTATTTCCAGAAATATTATCTGTATACATCACTGTGCAAACACCACACTGCTTTTTAAACAACAATCCCCTTTATTTCATGCATACTATAGCTAGAATTGCTGTCTAACAGTCAAAACATCGAGCTGTGTGTTCTTCAGGTCAACACCTACTGAAGAACAACCATATCAGCTGTGTGAGCGAGCACACAACACTCCAATCAACACGTGAAACCTCGCTTAGGTCACTGCCAAAATCAACACCTGATTATGGGGGAAATGTGCTGTGCAATGTTCAGTTTCAAATGTATTTTGGATGTGGTTTGTGCATTGGTGTGGCTTTTAAAATCTAAGCAAACAGAAGTCCTTTGGGAACGTTTTCAGTGATCTCCTCAAACAATCATCAAAAGATGAAACTGTCGTTCAGGCGCTCATCTGCACAATAATAAAGTTCTCTTTTTATCCCAGTCATCTCAGTGCATGGAAGGAAACTCTTCTGTGTCGGTGGTGTAAAATGCTGCATGCAGAAGCAGCTTTCTGCCATCCAGAGTGTGTCAAAGTGGAAGTGCATGTTTTCCTAAATCTGCAAATTCATCCATCCATCCATCATCTATACACTGCTTAATCCTCACTCGGGTCGTAAGGGGCTGGAGCCTATCCCAGCTAAATTCAATTTAATTCAAATAACTTTATTTATCCCCTAGGGCAGGGGTGTCCAATCCTGGTCCTCAAGGGCCACAGTCCTGCATGTTTTAGTTGTTTCTCTCTTCCAACACACTTGATTCAAATGACCAGCTCATCATCAAGCTCTGCAGAAGCCTGACAACGATCCTGATCATTTGAATCAGGTGTGTTGGAAGAGAGAAACAACTAAAACATGCAGGACTGTGGCCCTCGAGGACCAGGATTGGACACCCCTGCCCTAGGGGCAATTCAAAAAATAATGGTTGAAATTATAACCAAAATAAGGATTTTCATCATTTAAAAGCATTGATGTAAAGAATTCAATTAGATAGCTAAGTTTCACAGGCCATAATATAGACCTTTTACACAGCAGACATGTCACAGCATGAAAAGAAGAGCTGTATTCATGATGGCATTATTCCACTCAGGGGAGGTCCACTTATTTAGAATGATGGTTAGCTATCACAAGTTACACAGACACTTCATGGAAACAAGTTATTGTTAATGTTATTAATTCCATCCTTTCTTTTAATCCTGTGATAAGTCAAAATGTAGGTTGAAAGGGCCTCCACTGTGTTAAAAACTTCCTACAGCTGATAATATTATTGTCAAACAGTGGTGGAGTGCAGCAGAACATAACTGGCAATCAGTTTTGAATAGTAAATATTGTATGATTAGCTGTATCCCATGAAAGTTGAGCTAGTTTATTCATCCATGTGGGGAACTTTCTCCTTAACTGCCATCCTAGAAGTGCAGGCAGGCAGGACACAGTAACAGTAGACACCTAATGTCCAACACCAGTCTAGAGGACAGTGTTTAACTCAAGGTCTGTGGCAGAACATCCCTGAAAACACTCCTCGTCAAGTGGAGATGAGGTTGTTGTATTTGTTAAGATTTTAGTTAGAATTCAAGTGTTTGCTGCTTTTCTCTGAATGCCCAGATGGGGGCGATGTGGTCTGAGCTGTAAATCATCCAGCAGAGCGCCATGCTTTTCCCAAAAGTCCCTCCTCCACCTTTAATTCACAGGCCCAGTCCTCATGTCCCACCCAACCCCACTGTCTCCTCACAGGCACCAAATCCCATCCCCAGCACTGTGTACCATCCAAATAGAGTATTGTATGTTTTACTGTCACAGAAATGGATTTTTACATGTTTAATCTGGACTATTCTGGCTCTTTTTGCATCCTGTTTCTAATCTTTCTTTTTTTTAAAAATTTCATACACAGCTGACATTTGGATCATACGTGTTGGATAGATATAAACATTTAGATTCATATGTCAATCAATAGTTACATTTAGGCTGAATTCGCATTTTATAAACTATTACAGGTGAATTAGCCAACTTAATTTAAGATTATTACAAAGACAGCAGGCGGAAACTTCTTCTAAAGCTAAGGAACTGTGTATTTTCAGAAACATCGAAATCAAAAAAATAAAAATTATTTGGTTAGGTTTAGGAAAATTTCACACCTAATTGAGACAGAGGAAAGGATAACAGAGGGCGAAGATGGAGACCAAAAACTTACTTCTGTGACCTCCTCTGTTCAGTGTCAGTGTGTTATTGGACATTTGAGCATACAAATGACCTTTATGGACATGGGATGCTTTCCTCTGTTGCTACTCCTGCTCCTTGTTTGGATTATATAAGTGACCATGTGTGAGGGCTGCACTGGAAAATGCAGACTTTAGATATTCATTGATCACTTTGTGGGAGTGTTTTATCTATAAAATGTAAAAACTAATGAGAAACACTGATCCAAGCTTACAGCATCCCAAAGCAATGACACAGAATTGCTGATTTTTCCAGATAACAGTCAAAACAGTGGGTTCAGTTTACTGTGAAGTGACTTAAACAGTTCATATATGATCAAAAATGATCACTGATTCATTTTCAATTCACTGGGACATCCTGCAAAACACACACGTTCTAGGCATTCAGTGGCCTTTCGCAAAAGCATAAAGTATAGATGCAAAGTCATCCAAATTAGCATGTTGTGAACTACTCACAAACTTTCCTGTCTTTCCACTAACAGAAAACCAGGAGTGATGGACGCTACAGGATACAACAGACTGCTGGTTGTTACTGTGTAAGCACAGGTTCAATGGAATCACAGCCCTGAAGCAGATCATTTTGCTGGAGGACTCTGACGAAATAGGTCAACACACAGTCAAAACACATGTTTGCATATTCAAATTTTTATTGAAATGCTGCCACAGCAAAGATAAACCACGCAAAATCACTCAAAATGCTCAGCTGGATGAATTTGTTTCTCATTGAGCTTCGCACGGCTCTGCTGATATCATTGCAGAAGTGAGGAAAAGACAAGTCGACACCCGCTAACTGTCTGTCCAGGAAAAATGAAGGTGGATGTGCAGGCAGGAGCCATGACGGAGGACGGAAGAGACGGGCAGGGCTGGACGCAGCAGAGGATGGAAACGGGTGGAGGAATGGAGCAAGGTCAGGAAACAACTAAGTAAACACAGTGCTTTTATAATTCTCTGACTTTCATTTCAAAACGCATTTCATCACTTAAACTCCTGCAGCTGCAACGCAGACAAGTTGTCACTGCTTAATGTAATGCAATGTTAGGATGCAAAGACGTGGTGGGGGGCTGGGGACAGAACGTTATAACAGACATAACCTTCCACCCTGTAGCACATGTGTTACCATGACAAGCTGTCACCAGGGGCAATGAGAAAGAGTGAGGAGAGAGCAGATTCCAGTTTATTCTAAACGGTTGAAGCCATGGCAAACTCATGCTGAAGCTGTCATGCTGGAAATGGGAAGGGCCTTCTTTTCATACTTGCACACAAAGTTGTGGCGCACTTTTGTCTAAGGTATTGTTCGTATTACAGGAAAATGTGATTTCATTAGAACTATGGGACTTTTCAAACAAGACGCAGCCACAGGTGAAACAAATACAGCAGCAAAAGTGAACTTAAAGGGCTAAAAGTCACTGGAATATCCTCAGTATGGCAAGATTGAAAGACAAAACAGTTCTGCAAGTTGGTGAATGTTTGTCCATGTGGAACTGAAGGTGAACAGATGCCAATTTGAGGTAGTTAAAGTGGTCATGCTGGTCTGAATGATACTGTTTAGGCTGTATGTGTGTGTAGGTGGACAGTAGAGAGGAGTGCATGGGTGGAGTGGTTTGCCAAAATTGCAGTCATATCCCTCCAGCTCCTCTGCATGTATCTGGGGCGTGTACTGCCGTTAGAAAAAAGAAAAAAAAAACTCTCAGTCCTGCAACTCCTGCAGCCCCAGCGAGGCGGTCTGGATTTTCAGTCAGGGGACGTTCATCACCATCAGCCAGCACAGCAGCTCTCCCTCTCTCTCTCTCTCTCTCTCTCTCTCTCTCTTTCTAACCCTCCCCCGGACACCCCCACAGTCTCTGCCTCTCTGTCCGTCGGTCTGTCTTCTCTCAACAAGCCCAGCATCTCCTTTCTTTTCTCTGCTTAGCAATCATGTCCTCCAACGGCGCGGACGGGGACCTGCTGCGGATCCCTCTGGGACTCATCAACGACGACGGCAAGTATCTGACGGCGGAGACCTTCGGCTTCAAGATCAACGCCTCGGCCAGCAGCCTGAAGAAGAAGCAGACGTGGACCCTGGAGCAGACCGGGGAGGACGGCAGCGCGGTGTTCCTGCTCTCCCACCTGGGCCGCTACCTCGCCACGGACAAAGACGGCAACGTTACCGCGGACAGCGAGACGCGCGGAAAGGACTGCCGCTTCGTCATCACGGTGCATGAGGACGGGCGGTGGTCGCTGCAGTCCGAGCCCCACGGCCGCTTCCTGGGCGGCAGCGAGGACCGGATCACCTGCTTTGCGCAAACCGCCTCTCCGGCGGAGAGATGGAGCATGCACCTGGCCGTCCACCCGCAGGTCAACCTCTACAGCTTTGCGCGCAAACGCTTCGCCCACCTGAGCGCGCATGGGGAGCGGCAGGAGGTGTCCATAGACCGGGACGTCCCCTGGGGCGTCGACTCGCTTGTGACACTGGTGTACCGGGATCAGCGCTACCACCTGGAGACCTCGGACAACCGCTTCCTCCGCAACGACGGCAGCCTGTCCACCAAGACGGACAAGGATACCGGCTACATGCTGGAGTTCCGCTCCGGGAAAGTGGCATTCCGCGACTGCAACGGCCGCTACCTGGCCCCGGCCGGCCCCACCGGCACCATGAAGTCCGGGAAGAGCACCCGGGTGGGGAAGGATGAACTGTTCGGCCTGGAGCGCAGCCACGCTCAGGTCGTGCTGACTGCAGGCAACGAGAGAAACGTCTCCACGAGGCAAGGTGAGGCTCTGCAGCTCCACAGAGCCACAAAAAAAAAAAAAAATCACAATTCACCACACTGATGCAGTCACTGCATAACTGGGCACACACCCCCGGCAGCTGTTGCATGATCTGGCTGTGTGTGTGTGTGTGTGTGTGTAGGGGGGAGAAAGTAGAGCAGAATTAGAGACTCCTCTTACTTCATTTTCCTCACACCATGTGTTTTTCATTATCTATGCTCTCACTTTCTCCTCCCTCCCTCCCTCCCTCCTTTTGGCCAGTCTCTGCCTAGCTTAACATTTTTCTGCAGTAATTCTACCCCTGCATTGTGGTTGCTGGTCCAGGGTCAGCTCCAGTCTACAGTTATCCATCATTCTTTTAACTCAGAATAGACTGAGAATAAGGGCAGGCTTGTTTTGGAGACACGGGGGATAAAATGGTGGAGACAGTAGAGAAAACAGGCCACAAACAGTGAGCTGTGATTCAGACGGTCCTGCTCAATGTGCCACATGCAACCTCTTTGTCTTGTGCCTCTCAGCCTCTCTGCTTGAGTCTGTGCTGCCATGCACATGTGAGCGATCACCAACACACTGGTTTACCCAAGCAGTCGATATGCATTAATGTAGTCTGGAGTGTGTGTGTGTGTGTGTGTGTGTGTGTGTGTGTGTGTGTGTGTGTGTGAGAGAGAGAGAGAAAATTGAGAGCATTCCAGAGGAGATGGATTGAAAGCAAAGAAGATAATGTTTGTCAAATGAGGTCAGAGTAGGGCAGTGAATTGTGACCTGAATTGTGACCATAATTAGAAGACTGATGGATAACACATGCAACGCAAGGACCAAGAGACTGTGCTGCACATTCACAGTTTTCTTTCTTTTTAAAGAACCGCCTCTGCTTCTGCCTCTGTAGCCCAGTAACTACCAGATCTGGAACGATTAATCGACTGGGTGTCAACTATTAAAATGACCTATTGAGCTATTTTGGAAATTGACTGATTGGAGTGTTTTGTTTTTTTAAAGGAAAAAATGTAAAAAAAATCTGTAGCTTCATAATTTGGAACGTTTTATGGTTTCTTTCCTCCTCAATGACAGAAAACTGGTATCTTTGGGACAAAACAAGACACTCGAGGATGTCATCTTTGGCTCTGGGAAACACTGATGACTATTTTTCATCATCTTCTGACATTGCATAGACCAAACAGCTCAATCGATTAATTAATCCAGGCTCCAGTGTGGAAATGCACAAGCATTTTGTTTGCCAGAAGCTCAAAAAAAAAGTTCAAATTTAGCTTTTGTCTTAATCTCAAATGAAGTCCAAGTACTTCTATCTCAAATCCAACTAATTTCAGGGCTATTTTTACATCATTTGAGATTAGTGTAAGTCAGGTTAAAGTCTTTAGAGGCAAACTGCTAGTTGACATGGAAGTGTGTCCGCTCTCTAAATGGAACATTTCTCTTTTAAAGCTGTCTTAAACGTGCCCTAAGTACAGCTTTATATTTAGAAATGATTAAATGACTACATGTAATATAAAAGATGTTCCTGCAGTGATGAAACTATCGCTAATTATCACTCATCCATGCAGCTGTGCTCAGCCTCATAAAGCTTTGATTTTTATAACCAATATCTACTGCTTTGGTTTAGTTTTACAGTTTTCATCAGCAGGCAGCCGTTTTAACAAATAAATGATAAACCCACTGTATGTTTTCTGCTCACATCCAAATGGCATATTAAATAACAGACAGAGCAACTAGCTGGTGAAGTTAGAACACACTGACTGTATATACAGTTAGATGAACCCTCTATGACGTCACCCACAGGTTTCCTGAACAGCTGTTTTAAAGCTCAGGCTTTCAGGTGGCGTCATCTTGGCCTTACTCCAAAAATGAGCAAAGAGGTGGAGCGAGAGTAAAGCTGAGGTGGGCCATGTAAACACCTCTGGGCCATGAAGTGTCCTCAGCTCTCTCCACACCCCAAATTATACTTACATTTATTCTTTAACACAATCCCATCAGGTGAGTTATGTAAATATTCACCCCCCTACAGTTGTCACGAATGGCAAAATTGGCTATAGAGGCCAAAACCATTTTTCATACCAGGCTTTAAACATGTTTATTTCTGCTGTAAAACTGAGCATTTAACATGTGGGTCTATAGGAACTGACCCCCTCTTGGAGCTGGCCATTTGAGGAACTGCAGTTTTTGGCCCCTCTCCATTCATTCATTCATTTTCTAGCCCTGAAGGTTGAGCGATGGTGGAACATTTAGCAGCCACGAGCCAGACAATTCCCTTCAGAGATGAAGGGAAACAAAATACAGCTTAAAGTGGGGAATATCTGAGTGCCACATTAGTCGACCACAAACATGACTCCAAATGCTAATATTGACCCATATCTGCTGGATATAAGCAGCTTGCCCATTAAAAGTTTACAAAGAGATAATGCTGTATGTCAGTGTTGTGTCATAACCTACTAGTCTGAAAGTGATCTTATATAACTGAGACATTTTATTCCACAGCACTAATACCTTAAAACAATATTTCAGTCCTCATTTGTTAGAGTATGTGTGCTTTGAGTCTACAGCTTTGAAAGTTCATCAAAAGCAGGGATGTCAGCTTCCTCACAAATCCTTTATACATGAGAATGTAGTACACTCATAATAAATGTTCTGCCAATTCAGCCGGAGTAATGCAGGTCAACCATTTGGAACTGATTGATCAATTTTTATCATGTGGAAAACTTGCTTCCTCACTGTTACTCTGCTATCATCGCCAGACCTACTGCCCCGTCATCTAACTCCACTCAGGAAAGACATATTCCTGCTCGGGCGCAATAATGCACAAATTTGTGCGGCCGCGCCTCCAGCAGCTGGGTTCAGAGAGTTCAGGAAATCCTGTCGCTTTAAGAGCGTGTCAGGGGGAACCTCATGAGTTTTGAGGGTAACAGAGATTCAGACCTCCAGAGACAAATGAAATCTGACAGCGGACTGCCCCACTTTTCTAGGCATGGACCTGTCGGCCAATCAGGACGAGGAAGGCGACCAGGAAGTCTTCCAGTTGGAGATGAGCCGTGAGGACAGGAAATGTGCCTTCAGAACTGCTGCTGGAAAATACTGGACGCTGACAGCAACCGGAGGGCTGCAGTGCACTGCCTCCACCAAGTAACCACACACTAACACACACACACACACACACACACACACACACACACACACACATTGTATAATGTTGTATGTCACGCAGTGGAGCCGAACAATGGATCCATTTCAAATTTGAAACAATGCAATTTAGCAGATTGCAAAGGCTGCCATTTAGTTAGGTTATATTATATTTGTTACATAGCATGTCAGACCGAGGCTTTAAACTGTTGCGTGTCAGTGGTTTTATAAATTTGTGCCGTCCTCTTTGTGACCGTCATGGTTTTGATGGTATCTCATGTGGCAATACTCCATCACATGTTTTAAATCCGTGACACATATCGAATATTGAGTTAAAGCTTGACTGTAAAGAAAAAAAAAATTATCACAAATCAAATCATAATCGCCATATCTGTAAGAAAAATCCCAGTTAGTTGTTTTCCCCATGTCGTTCAGTGGTAAATATGCATAATGTATTAGACATCACAAATAATGAAGCTCAGTTTTGGCTCTTTGCTTTACTTCCGCCCTCTCGCACATTTAGTTCATATATAACCATCCTTCACAGTCTGCCAGCTGAGTTCTGTATTGTGTGGGTGTGTTTCAGGTCTGCCAACTGTTACTTTGAACTGGAGTGGCGCGATGGTCGGGTGTGTGTTCGTGCATCCAACGGCAAGTATGTGATTGCAAAGAAGAACGGGCAGCTGGCTGCTACTGTAGACAATACAGGTCAGTCATGCTTCTGACGTGAGCGGAAAGTAAGCAGTTACAAATGAGCTCAGTGCGTTTTTATGTACATGTACTTATTCTGTACTACTGTAAAATGAATTAATCTTCATGTAGGCAAAATCAGGATTCAAAAGTGTTCTGTCTTTAAGTTAAATATCAGTACTTCTTTGCTAAGGCATCTCAGTATTTTTTCATCCATGATTAGAACAAATACCAGCACAAATCCTTTACCCTAAAAGCATCAAAGTTTCCTCAGTATCCTTATGTGCTGATGGACTTGAATCATCTTAGAAACAAGACCCAGATTTATTCGATAAACCCTAATGAGCCTTTTTTCCTCAGGGGAGGCTGAACAGTTCCTGATGAAGCTGATCAACCGTCCAATCATTGTCCTTCGCGGAGAGCACGGTTTCATTGGAGCTCGTAAAGCTGGAATGACGACTCTGGACTCCAACCGAGCATCCTACGATGTTTTCCAACTGGAGTTCCATAACGGTGCTTACGCCCTCAAAGGTGGGTGATTGTGTTTAAAGACAAAAGAAATCCTGAGTTTACGGAACCAGTGTTATAATTGTATTTATTCTGAAGCCCAGTGTGTAGAAAATAGAGAATTTAGCATATTCTAGCATCCTGATAACAAATTTCTTTTGATTTTAAGAAAGTAAGACTGTTTGCTACACAAACTTTTTTATTTATACTAGCCTGTGGAAGTACCAAATTGAGGACTGTCCAAATTAGTGAAGAGTAGTTGATGGGTTGGGCGATTATTCGGGCCGATTAAGTGACATTTTGTGATTATAGGCATGGACAGATTACCAAGGGGAGTGGAAACAGAGGCTACATTGGGTCGATCCACACTGGCTATTGGGTTGTTAATTCCAAACTTAGCAGGGAACTTTGGAAAACTGGTGGTTGAGGAGAGCAAGCATATGTCATAAGTCAAAGTACGCCACCGTACTGGGGGTTTGTAATGCTATTAAACGAGCTAAGAGGGTGGTATGGGCAGAGGAAACACAGCACCGACACATTATCAACACACAAAACTTGTTGGCATGCACCAGTTGAATGCATTTGACAAATATGAAGTAAGATTACCATTTATTTGGAGCCATGCCTCACAGCGCTTAGCGAGTGTAATACTGGTGGCGCTTAAGTCTGACATTTTTAAATCCCGCAGAGGCTGGCTTAAATTAATGCATTTTTATAGCTTTCAGGCAGCTAAAAGTTCACGTCAGTACGGCACCAAGATTTTCTCTCCATCACAATGGACACGCGGTTATCTTTAGTGTTTTGTCAATAATACATGTATTATTGATGGACTAGCCCAGACCGTAGAATACAGCAGTGTAGACCACATTGTGACTCGCTGGTGGAACGTTAAGGCATCGTCGACTGTTCTTAATGAATGGAACTGCATCAGATTCACATTGTCCTTCCACAATGTGCATGTTCTTGTCCTTTAAATGTAGTGACTGTTTGTTGGGGCTGTTTAGTGCTCACCACAACCCCCGTTTAACTCAACCGGGCTTCAGACAAAATCAATATTTAATACGTCTAATGGGAATAATATTATGGCTAAATGGATCGGCCTTCTATCATTTCAACCGGCCAGCCTACTTAGACCTGAACAGTGAGTCAAAGTGGTGTATTATTTGTTATCGTCATGATGAAATGGTCATGTTGTAGTACTGAAGTACATTTTGCCCAAAAACATTTGAAATATTTAAAGAGTCGTATTATGCTCAGCACTGACATATTATTCATGATTTTATGAGGTTTATGATTTTATATTTGGGGTCTCTTAGATTATGTTGATGCTCAAAAAACTAATTTTTTCTCATGCTAAATTGCTGAAGCACCTTTTCTCACTGTCTGTCTGAAACGTTCAGTTTTAGCTCCTGTCTCTTTAAGGCCCAACTCCCAAAAAGTCCAGTCTCCTCTGATTGGTCAGACATAAAGTTACCCCAGATCTATAAGCAAATGCAAGCTGTGGAGCGATCCAAGTCAGCTGCTAACATCTGCAGGCAAAGAGAATCACAGAAATTGCTCTAACAGTAAAGAAGTAGCAAACAGTAAAGAAGCTACTTGTTTATTGTTTATGGTTGTTCCAGAATAGTAACTAGGCAGGCGTTATGCAAATGTGTTACATGGTGATGTAGATGAGAAACAGGAAAATCCTGGACTCCAAACGGAGCGTTTCAGGCTGCTAAGAAGCAGTGTTTTCTGTGAGAGAGAATACCTCCCTTTGGTTTGGACTTTGGAAGTTTGCAGACCTTTTACTTGCACGAAAAAAAAGCCATAACATACTAAAGGAAAGAGAGAAAGAAAGAAAAAAAGCACAATACGAGCTCTTTAAATGAAACGTATGGAAGCACATTTCTCGTATCACCCTTAAAGTCAGGATAACAGTCGAACATTAAATGCAATAAGCGAATCTACGTATATAAAAATGCTGTATATTGAGCCACTGTATGTCCTCTATGAGCCAGGGTTCCTTAAACGTGTTGTTTGTCCAGACTTCATGGGGAAGTACTGGTGCGTTGGAGACGACACAGCGGTCGTGTGCAGCAGCTCAACGCCCGTCCAGTTCCTGCTCGAGTTCTGTGACCTCAACAAGATGGCCATTCGCGCTCTGGGTGGGAAGTACCTTAAAGGAGACCACGCCGGCGGGCTTAAGGCCAGCGTAGACTCCCTGGACAACGCCACCCTCTGGGAATACTGAGAATGCACAGCCAGACTTCTCCACTATCTGACACAATACTTCACACTATTAATAGATACTGTAGGTAGCTGTTTTCTTTTTTCTTTTTTTGCATACGTGTGTGTGCCTGTGTGTGTGTAGTTGTGAATTTGTTTGGATGGATGTGTGGTGGAAACTGAAATTGATAAACTGGAAGTCATGGCACCAAAGTGTTAGATTTTTTTTTTTTTGAAAATGTTCTTTCTCAGACATGATCTCTTCTTACTGGGCTTTTTACTGGAGTTTTGGGCGACTTGCTGTTTACTGAATGCATTATAGTGGTTATATGGTTGCACAGTATTTGTTTCACCTCCAGTCAAATTTACACAAGCTGTACCTGATAAACGTCAGGACAATTGCTGTTATTAGTTGTGCCTATCTGTGGTAACTACTGGTGTAACAAACATGTAGAATGCTATAACTCATATCTTACAATATCTAACCTTCTCCTGCTAAACGTCCTGCTGCCTCTGTACGCTGCTTACTCGTCTTTCAAGCTATAAAACATAATGCACATCTGATAAAGGGATGGTACCCATTTACATGCTTCCGCTGTAAATAACGCTTTCTTTGTCGCTGAATCATTCAAAACACGGTAACCATGGAAACAGAAATGGGATATGGCTGGCAGATCTAATATGTTTTGTCTGGTCACTATCCAGTTTTCCTTCCTCGGTCGTAAATGTGCAGACGACAAACTCTCTCTAGAGATGCAACCTTGGAAAGTCCTGAGTGGTCCAAAGGTTTTCCTTCAACAATGGATCCACTCAGCGCTTGTTTCCTCAGATCAGTACATGGTTTCAGTCATAGTCTAAGATGAAACAAATGCAACTGAAAAAGAAGCTTCGAAATCCCCCCGCCCACCGAGTGGCGGGCGAGGCCTAGTTAGCGCACACAACACGCTCGAATGCACATAAATACATATAAATGTAGTCATGAATACACGAATTCTAACTGTGAAAATACAGCGAGTAATAATTAGCACAATAATATAGGGTCCACTTGAACAAATTTAAAAGCACACATTTGTTATGATGAAATGTTGGCCTTAGATTGGTTGCTGCTGGTATGTGTGTGTATGTGTGTGTGCGTGCGTGTGTGTGTGTGTGTGTGTGTGTGTGTGTGTGTGTGTGTAGTCATCTCTGGTTATCATTGTGGCTGTGCCTTCCATAGAGCATTCAATCTTTTCTCTTTCATGCTCTTACATTTCAACTGAATTGAGTAAAAGCTCCAATAAAGTTTTCCTCTCAATAGTTGGTCCTCAGCTTGATTTTTCTTTTTGTTAGTTTATATTGTCTATGTCAACAATGCAAGAGCCATCCATTATCTATACACCGCTTAATCCTCACTAGGGTCATGGGGGGCTGGAGTCCATCCCAGCTGACTCAGGGTGAAGGCAGAGGACACCCTGGACAGGTCACCAGTCTATCACAGGGCTACACTTAGAGACAGACAACCAAGCACACTCACATTCACACCTACGGACAATTTAGAATCACCAGTTAACCTCAGCATGTTTTTGGACTGTGTGGGAGGAAGCTGGTGTCCTCACCGGGACGCAAACCAGCGACCTTGTTGCTGCGAGGCAATGGTGCTAACCACCGCTCCACCTTGTAGCCCCAACAACACTATAATATAGAAAGAAATCCAACAAATCCAAACATTCCCTTTGAGGAGCTCCTCTGTGACAGCGGGAAGAAAAAAACTCTCCTTTACCAAGAAGAAACCTCTTTCAGAGCCCTGCTCAGGGAGGGCGACTATCAGCCTTGACTGGTTAGCGTGAAGGGAAAGGAGAGAGAAAAAGATAGCAGAGAGAAAACAAGCGAACAATACGTACAAAAGTAAAAAGTACTGGGAAGGTTGGTGAGGCCAGTAACTACAGACCAGTTAAGGTAGTTAGAAGAACAACATCTTACATTGCTCTTATTGTCAAGATCAAACCAGTCATAAATTGATTCTGTTAATTTCCCTAACCCCTTTGTGCATTTAAGTTCAGTTGAAAAAACACACACATCAGTGAGCCACACTGTCACACCAGGTCACATATTCCTTCACTTATACTTGAATATAAACCGGGTGGGTCCACATCACCTCTTCAGGTTAGAGACTTTTCACTGTCCCTGCAATGTGGCAACCATCTTGTTCTGATAAGAAAATTCATTGTCATGATTTTGCAAATCCTGCTGTGTGTGGGAGAAGGAAGAAAGAGCCTGCATTGGGTCCCCTTGAGATTTCACTGAGCCAAAACTGTACAGGAGAAAGGAAGGCGAGGTGGAGAGGGAGGTAACCTACTCCACTTTCTCTGCCCTACTGCAGAGGAAACTTATCTCCCTTCCTCTGTGAAAAAAAAAAAGCCAGACTGTCATTCCAATGTGTGCTAAACTTCACATGTGTAATCGGATACAGACACATGAAGGACAGAGGAACGAGCATCCTTCAGTTTGCACTGCAGGATCTCTACGTGTTGCCATGGTAACAGGTAATGGCAGGGATGGGGCCTGAGGAGGATGAATGTTCAGAGACGTAACAGACACACAGATCAATAATCTCAATAAACCTTGCAACAGTCAAAGTCAAACAGTCATATAACTACAGACGCGGATTCTCGAAAACTTCTGCGAAGCGACTGGAAGAAGACGTTGTAATTAAAAGCTTTAAGACAGGCAGAGACACATGATAGTCCCTAAATGAACTGGAGCTTCCACTTTGCTCACATTAATACAATAATACTCCCATTCCTTTTCAGTGAGTCTGTGTTTGTGTGCTGTGTGCAAGGTCTATAAAAGAAAACACATGTCAGGGTCGAGCCAAATCCGCCTGCCAGAAAAAGCTAATATGTCGGTGGAGTGGAAGGAGAGAAGCAGAGGTAGAGACACAGCAGGAAATGAATGAGGTGGAAGATGAAAAGAGACAATATGCAGCAAAAAGGCTTCTTTTACTGGCCATTAGTCTGAGGACTAAAGGAGAATCCTGAGGCATGGAGGCCATAAAGAACAACTTCTTCAAACTCTTCTCGGTGATACATGGCAATATTAACACTGCTCTGGGAAAACCACATGTGAATCTCCACACTGGGTGGTTTTAATATTTTCTCATGAGCTTACAGATAAAATACCACCATGCTGGTAGCCCTGTGAGGCTGTACTTTAGTGCAGCAGCTCTTTAGACTAAAATCTGGAGCTATCATACCATGCTTACAATCACATGCTTATTAAAACAAGACTGATGTATACTGGTTGGGCAATATTATTGGTTAAGTGATATCTTGCTATCAGTGTATACACTGTCTGAGATGAAAACGTTAAGCTACAGAACTCATTGTAGAAAAAAAAGACATCTGGGATAATACAGACTTGGTGTCCAGCAGAGTGGCTCCAACTCCATTCTTCACTATAGTCTCGACTGTCTGCAGCACATGTAGCAGAGAGCGTCTTATAATGGAGCACAGTGGTGCCAAATCAAGTGGTGTGTTGTTGCTAAGTAGTTTTTGAAATACATTGTAGGAAAGGAAAAATGAATCTGGCACATACCTTTTTCAATTTGCCTCTGACAAACTATGTATATATATATATATATGTGTGTATATTGTATGTGATACTCTATGTGTGTATATATACATATACAGTGCTTATGTTCAGCAGTATACTGTTAATCATCTTAGTTTAGCACAATAGCTTGATGGTATTTTCTTTATTATTAACACTAAGCACATGAGACAGATAAGGCTGGTTTGCAGGTATTTAGTCAAAAGTAAAGGGCTAATTAACATTGTGATCTAATGATGGAGCACGATATTAAAAAATAAGAGAATCACAAACACTTTTTATAATTCACCCAGTCTTTACAATGCAAGTTCTTAGGACCATGGATGTCGGTACAGAATTTTGTCCAGTACGTGTTGAGGTACTTCTGATAGACCAGCATGGTGAACTAACAGAATGACCAACACTGGCATGCTAAGCTATGCAGCTGACACTGGTATAAATTCACAAGAGACTCATAAAGACTCAATAAAAACCACATCTCATTGTCTGTCTGAAGTTTGTGCAGAACATCAGCAGCTGACAACTCTGTAAAAAAGAAGAGGCTAGTAAATAAAGCCAGAGTTAAGATTTTCTTCACTAATTACAAGTCCAAGTATGAACTTTAATGCGCGAGGCCAAAACAGGCTTGTTGCTATTTAAACACACACACTTCATAAACTGTATGTGCAGCCTGATGGTTCTGCACAGCAACATCTTGACTTGACACTGAAGGAAAGCACTGGTGACACTAACAACATGACTCTCTTCTCTTTAAATGTAAGCCACAATATTGAGTCATTATTGATTTAAATATTTTCACCTGTTTCCCTTCTCTGACATGCCAACATGTGGTTTTATCTGGTAGTTTGTTGAACCGTGATGCTGCGACTTCCACCCGTATCTCATATTTTAACAGCGGTAACTTTCCAGTGTTTATCTCCACGACCACGGTATCTGTCTCTGCATTGTTTTAATGTGTCTACTGCTGCCATCTAGTGCAGCGACAGGTATTCACAAGTGATTTAACCATGTGCACTACATGACCAAAAGTATCCGGACACCTCTTTTTTTCCTGGTTTTATCTAGTTCCGGTAAAGGGAAATGTTATCGTTGCAGCATACAATTAGCTTTTACAAAATAATGTGTTTCCAGTTCTGTAAAATGAGCTTGAGAAAGACATTTTCTTGTTTCAACACGTCTCAATGCATTAAACTGAAAAGGAATGATG